CAGGGCGATAACGGGAAGTATTTTTTAGATGTTTTGTAGAAACTGTCTAAATGCCAAATATTATTTATGATGCATAGTTTGGGGTATGCGGACTGCAGCAGCCTTAGGGTTTCAATGATCTTACCGTACCCTATAACAACTCCTAGCTGTACACCATAATGCATAGTTTGGGGTATGTGGGCTGTGTCCTTTTTCAATAAACTATTGTGTGTTGTTTATCAAGTGTAACAGTTTATCGTACCTATACCAGCACTTAAACTGTTGAGAGTGTCCGCCATGCTACGCACTTCATTCATGCTTGGGTAGGCATTCTCCTTTCGGTATGTTTCCAGAATTTGTAGTTCCTTCTCAGACCAGTGAAGTCTATCACGTCGACTAAAAACCGGTCTCGCTTGTCCTGATGAAATAAAAGATAATTGCTTATCAGGAAGTCCACACACACACACACACACAAGTGTAAGTAAGAAGTTGATAAATTTTATTATATTTAAAATATTTCAGTAGGAAAAATAAGCCTAAAAGAATAAGATATCAAGGGGCATTCATTGTTTAATTATCTTACTACTCTTTTTGATATAAATAGCAGTCAAAATCTTGTGTTCCATCTAGTTGTTGCAACAGTGATAAAGTAGTGCACTGAGGTAAAAGTTGGAATATAAATAAAGCATTGAGCGAGACTTTTTTTATTCCTTGTTTTAAATTTTTTTTTTAATCCTTGAAGGAGTGCATTCTGTCATGCAACAAAGTTGCAGTTAGTTACTATTTAGAAAACCATGGTAAATAAGGAACTAAGAACAAAAAAAAATTATAATGTAGTGTACCACCACCTTCCCCCCTCCCCCATCGGACAGACCTGGGCCACCTTTCTCCATCATAAAACGCCACTAAGTATAAGGGTTTCTTACCTTCAGTCCTATTTTGTTGAGACTGATTCCCCCTGTTTGATAAATAATACCAAGAATAAAGAAGTTTAATGGCATTCTTCGTTAGGCCTCTACCATTTAGAAGATAGTGCGACAGAATTCCCTTTTGGATACCAAGTTCTTTGGCGAGCCAGTTCTGAGATATGTCATGACCTAATACAAACATTTTAATGTCCTCCCACAGTTTGTTTGGATCATGGCTGTGTAGAAAAAGCAAAAAAGAAACAAACTGTTAAGCACACAGATCAGGAAAAAGGGCCTACTTAACTTATGTGCTTATTTCCTGTAGTGTCTCTTCAGGCTTGGTCATCTTGCATTATATTGGTATCAGCAGTAAACACCTCCGTCAGGATTTTCCTCCTTAAATAAACATCCTACATGGCCG